ATCTGTACTCTGGAAGCGCAGGTTTGAATTTCATGTGCGGCGCAAATTTTCTCTTATTAACTATTAAGTTTCTTAAGCAAGGAATTCAACTCATGGTGTTTCGGTGTAACCAGCTGAAAAAAAGGGCAGCAAATCGCTGACATGCGAATAATAGGGACAGCAGGGCAGCATGGTTATGAGACATGTGGTCATACTGCCTGAATTATGAGTCAACGATATCGCCTTCACCCACCGGGCAGCTGATTATAAACCAGCGTAAGATATTAAATTGGCAATTTAAAATAAATAAATACATTAAGCGTCTCAAGACGAAGCTGTCGGAGTATAAGTCAATCTTCATCTCCCTGCTCACCGATGATCAAAAGTCGAGGACCAAAACTGAAAAACTTTAATCCCGGAAAGACCTTGGTCTAGATCCGCTGTATTTCAGATTGAGAAGTCACACCTGCACTGATACAGGCAAGTTTTGGGAATGCCTCCAGAAAGCAAGGCGAAACAGCTACTACTTGCTAGATGGACGACATGGACGGCCAAGAATGACCTGGAGCAAGTGCATGGCAGAACACCGCTTCAGACTCAGACTGGCATTTGCCGACGCTTAAACGCTAGCACAGAATCGGGAACGTTGGAAGCACCGCCTGAAGCTGCAGCTTCTGCGACCCAAAAGGATAAGCGGTCATCGAAATTACACGAATGACAAAAACGTTTAATTTAGAAATTTTAAATGCATAAATACTTTATGGGTTAAATTCGCCAAGAATTGAAGCCAAACTAAATCATTAAAACAGCCATGATTAACTTGAAAAATTTCCCGCATTAACTAAAATCAATTACAATTATTCCAAAAAACCGAGGATACGAAATATGCAGGTTCCTGATTTATCATAAGGAACATGTAAGACGTCCAAGGCAATAAAATGATGTTAGATGCATCGCAAGTTCAAAAGTTCGGGCAGGGCCGTTGCTTGCCAAAATGATCTAAAGACGTACAGGATCAAGAGGTGGTAAAATAATACCATATAACCAGTGCATAATAATTCTGATTATTAATTATTTCCAATGAGATGCAAACGTTCACTTGTCCATTTATTACATGTTCGCCCAGCATATTAAGACAAAGTTTAATTTTACGAGCTCCCGAAATGTCAATTTTAATGAGTTGCTGTTACAGCCAATAGGATCATGCGAAATTCATCAAGGACATGGAATTATGTGTTCCAGGGGGACGGAGTCATGATCCTCTAGAAATTTTGTAACAGGAGGGCTGTGTGATAAAGCCTGATAGAACTGTGCTTGTTAATTATTTTTAAAAACAGCACAAAGACGGTTCTGTTATAGACAGTGCAATATGGTGGTACACAGGCGATTGATCGATACCGATCTTCTGATACTAAACTCATGAGCCTTCTTTGGGATAAATGGAGCAGTAGTTTCCGCCTATCGTTGGATCGTCTGTGAACATTATTTATGCGCAATAAAATGAAGATTCGATGTTGTTCTTCTTACACGATATCATAACTGTTGATATGTTATCATCCCTCTTAAAAATTAGTACACAATGACCTCGACTTACATAAATTCACATTACGTAAATTCAGACTTACGCACATTTTTCTGAAAGCAATATGAAAACATTTTGAAGTTATAACAATGCTACTGAACACATTTATGTTACTCGCAAGCTACCAAACAGCGGTCTCCGCAAGGCAAACAGCTAGCATGGTGCAGGCGTGCGTTTTCCTCAGTCACGCTATACTTACTAATGAATACGGACGTGCTGGGCGTATGCATTCACATGCTTTCTTATTTCTTGGTTTGCGCAAGTGCGCAAGTAAAA